GAGACAGTGGATTACGGGAATCGCCATCTTTCATCGAGGACATCGGCAAGACGACGCCATATTGTCGTCATCAATCACTACGGCGCTGCGACATCATCACTGCAACAGCTCGACAACGAGGTTATCGACATCCGATAAGCATCTTGTGTGCATCGTTAACAGTGACTCTAGACTATAGACGATAGATAGGGCGGTATTCATAGTCCGTTCTTATATTTAAAATCGTCTTAAGCACGGACTTATATTCGCTCTCTTCGTCACCCATAGATTGTGTCTGACGAAGAGAGCGAATATAAGTTCGTGCTTAAGACGATCTTGAATATAAGAACGGACTATGAATACCGCCCATAGAACTAGGAAATGGCGGAATTAGAAGCGTTAAAACGTCAACGAACGACAATCAAAAGCCGTGCGACTAGATTTAAGACATATATTGATAGCTATGTAGATAGTCTTCAAGAAAGATTTATCTTAGAATCAAAGTTAGAAAAGTACAACGAGTCATGGCAAGAATATCATACAGTACAAACAAAGATTGACGCCCTCCTTCCCGAACCGGACATTCCACAGCGAGAAGGATTCGAAGAGGCATTTTTCATTGTACAAGCGAAAGCACGGTCAATACTTGCTCGTTCAAGAACTAATGAAACTAATGTTCAGGGTAATCTTCAAAATCAAAACACTGGTCAAAATGTCTTAAATCTAAACGCGAATCAGACATTAGTACGACTGCCAGTAATATCTTTGCCGACTTTCAATGGAAGCTACGAACAGTGGCAACAGTTTTATGATACATTCAAGGCATTAGTAGATAACAATACTAATCTAGATGCAGTTCAGAAGATTCATTATTTGAAATCTGCATTATCGGGCACAGCTGCTCAAGCAATACATTCACTACAGATTACTAATGAAAATTATCTTGTTGCATTAGAATTATTGACAAAGAGATTTTAAAACACGCGCTTAACGATTCACTATCACGTTCATGAATTATTCAATTTGTCTCCAATTCCGAAAGAGTCAGCAGAGCTATTACGTGCATTGCTAGATAATTTTCAGAAAAATCTAAGAGTCTTACAGCAATTAAAGGAACCTACTGACAAATGGGATACGCTTATCGTTTACCTAATCACTAGCAAATTAGATACTACAACTAAAAAAGAATGGGAATTGAAGGTAATTAATGAAAGGTTATGTACTACTAATCAGTTAATTGAATTTCTCAACGCACGTTGTGAGTTTCTCGAAGCCCTTCACCCAGGACCTAGCAAAGCAACATTCGCTAAAATCTCGACACAAAAATCGAGTCAAATAAATACAAATAAGAATCAGAACGTAAGCCTTTCTCATGCAGTCACTAATGAAGTAAACGAGTGTGTTCTTTGCAAGCAGGCTCACCGAATACATGCATGTAAAATTTTCAAGGACTTATCAGTAGAGTCACGACGCAATGAAGCAAAAAGATTAAGTCTTTGTTACAATTGTCTGAGTTCAAATCACACGGTACAAAGATGCTCTTCACGCACGTGCAAGCACTGCTCTAAGAAACATCACACGTTGCTTCATATAAATGAGCGTTCAAGCGTTAATCAAGGTTCCACATTGTCCGGAAACGTCTCGGCAATTTCTAATGATACTAATGTAAATACGCAAACGTCTGAAAATCCAACGCCGACATCCGTATCAATGAAAGCGATAAATCTCAAATATAATTCCGAAATCCTCTTATTTGCAATTGTCTACATCCGAGATAATTCAGGCAATTATCACAAGGTGCGTGCACTCTTAGACAATGGCTCACAATCAAGCTTCATCAGCAAAGCGATGTGTCAACAATTAGGTCTTAAGATAGATACTGCAAAGCACACGATTTCATGTTTAAACGTAATCGAAACACAGGCAGTCGAGAGCACAAGAGCATTAATTGCTTCGACAACCACATCTTATGAAGCAGATATTAATTTTCTCATTGTTAAACAAATCACTCGTTCCATTCCTTCTAGACCTATTGATGTTAAACTCTTAAGCATACCTCATCAATTTGAGTTAGCAGATCCAACATTCCACAAGCCTCAAAACGTAGATTTGTTGTTAGGAGCATCGATCTTCTGGGACGTTCTTGAAGCAGACAGGATCCAGTTGGGAGCCAGGCAACCGATTCTACAATCAACAAAACTGGGCTGGCTGCTATGTGGACAAATTGGATCATCACTCAATATTAAAACACGCAATAATCATATTGTGTGCGGACTCGTTCGAAACGACGAACTGCAAGCACAAATTGAGAAATTCTGGATCATTGAAGAGATCTCTAACACTAAGTTGTTATCAAAGGAAGAAATCGACTGTGAAAGGATATTTCGAGAAGAATATCAACGAACAACTGATGGCAGATTTCAGGTATCACTATTCTTTCGCAAGGATCCAAGTATCCTTGGCGAATCTGAAAGCAGTGCTTTCAAACGCTTACGTAGCATGGAAAGACGTTTTCAAAGGGACATCATTTTGCAAACTAGATATGCTGAGTTTATGAAAGAATACGTCGAACTTGGCCATATGTCTGTCGTGGACAATCCAGGTAGTATGAAACTTAATTATCTCCCACATCACGCAGTCATCAAGGAAACATCAACATCTACGAGACTCAGGGTGGTATTCGACGCTTCAAGCCCTACTACCTCTGGAAGGTCTCTCAATGATTGTTTATTAATTGGACCTACAATTCAATCTGAACTGTTTGACATCTTAATACGTTTTAGACAATATCCGTATGTTCTAACTGGAGACATAGTCAAAATGTATCGTCAAATTATGGTCAAACCGGAACATCGACAGTATCAATGTATTCTTTGGAGAGAAAGCTCAGATCAGCCAACGACAACGTTCAAGTTAAACACTGTTACTTATGGAACGGCAGCAGCACCATTTCTAGCCATACGATGCTTACAACAATTAGCCTATGACTTCGAAGGCACGCATCCTCGAGCAGCCACAGTCATAGCTCATGATTTTTATGTCGATGACATGATCACTGGAGAATCATCAGTGCAAGAACTGCTTCAAACTAAGGTTCAAGTAACAGATATATTGAAGACAGCAGGATTCCAATTGACCAAATTCTATTCAAATGCTTCTCTTAGTCAGGATGAACACCAAGGCGATTATGGACTTACAAATACAAGAATCCTAGGACTCCTGTGGCAACCCTATTCTGATTTATTACGATATCAAGCAAATGAAAGGATGGTGCCAGAAATCATTTCTAAGCGTACCATTCTGTCTTTGATCACACAAATATTCGATCCACTTGGCTTAATTGGACCTATTATCATCACGGCCAAGATATTACTACAATCACTCTGGCAGTTGAAGATGGACTGGGACACACCTGTACCCGAAACATTTCGAATGACATGGTCATCCTATTATCAACAACTACACTTGATCAACCAGATGACAATACCACGCCATGCTATCATACACAATCCAAACGATATCCAACTTCATGGATTCTGTGACGCTTCACAAACAGCGTATGGTGCTTGTATTTACATTCGTTCTGTCGACCAATCCGGACTGATTAGTGTTCAATTGCTAACTGCCAAATCACGAGTGGCATCATTAAAAACCATCAGCTTACCCAGACTCGAATTATGTGGAGCTGTTCTTCTTGCCAAGTTAGGTCAACGAGTGGCACAAGCTCTCAGTTGCACAATTACACGACGTAATTTTTGGACTGATTCAGAAATTATGTTAGCATGGATTCAAGGGGAACCATCAAAATGGCAAACATTTGTAGGCAACCGCATAGCAGAGATCCAACGACTAAGCAACAAACAAGATTGGTATCATGTACGATCGGAGCATAATCTTGCGGACGTGATATCGCGCGGTCTTCTTCCAGAACAATTGTTAAGGGCTACATTGTGGTGGGAAGGTCCATCATGGTTAAAGAAAGATCCCTCACAATGGCCACAAAAATCAACACATTCCACAATGGAGGTACCTGAAGTTTGTATTCAATCATTTGCTACTATCCAAGTTCAGGAGGCAGATGACATCCTTATTCGATATTCTTCGCTCATTAAATTGAAGAGAATTATCGCATTATGCATGAGATTTAAGGATAACTGCATGCTATCAAAGGCAAAGAAGTCAAAAATTCATGGACCTATCAGTTGTGAAGAGTTACGAAAGGCAATGATCATCGTGGTGAAACTCCATCAACAGAAGGTCTTCGCATTTGAACTACATGCATTACAACGAGGCAAGGCAATTGATTCACACAGCAAGCTCCTTTCGTTTAATCCTATAATTGATCAAGATGGAATATTGCGCGTTGGGGGCCGGTTGACAAATGCACCAATTCCCTACACCCAAAAACATCCTATTCTTTTGTCTCCTAACAATGTCCTGACTGATTTGATTATACGCGATCAACACTTAAGACATTTCCACATCGGTCCGCAACTGTTGTTGACGACACTCCGAGAAACTTACTGGATTATTCACGCCAGAAATGCAATCAAGCGGGTATTAAGTAAATGCGTTCTGTGCTTTCGACTACGGCCTCGCAGCCCTGTACAGAAAATGGGCGACTTACCTGCATGTAGAGTCACTCCATCTAGAGTATTTAATCATACCGGAGTTGATTACGCCGGACCATTTAACATTAAAATCTCGAGAAATAAATCCGGTAAGGCTTATCTATGTTTGTTCGTCTGTATGACGACCAAGGCGGTACATCTTGAATTGGTATCAGATCTCACAACAGAAATGTTTCTAAACGCACTGAAAAGATTTATATCACGAAGAGGCAAATGCGAAACCATCATGTCTGATAACGGAAAAAACTTTCTTGGAGCTAGCAACACTCTACGCCAAATGAGCAAACTTTTGTCAGATACTGAACATCAATTGAGAACAATCGAGTTTGCAGCTACTCAAGGAATTACATGGCGATTCATTCCACCTCATTCCCCTCACATGGGAGGATTGTGGGAAGCCAACGTAAAGGCTGTAAAGACACATCTCAAGACTGTGATCAATGAAACTTTATTATCATTCGAAGAGCTTTATACTGTATTAACTCAGGTGGAAGCCATTCTCAACTCTCGACCGTTGTGTCCATTGAATAATTCTCCAGATGATTTGGAAGTCCTGACGCCAGGACATTTCTTGATTGGAACGTCACTGCATGCATTACCAGAAGAATCCGTTCTAAACATTCCATTGAATCGTACTAATAGATACCAGCTGCTTACACAACTTCAGCAATCATTCTGGAAACGTTGGTCGAGGGAATATATCACTCAATTGCAACAGAGGACCAAATGGAAGAATACAGTACGCAACGATGAAATACAAATAGGAAAACTCGTATTAATTCGCGATAACAATTTACCTCCGCTCAAATGGGGAATCGGTCGTATTTGTGAGCTACACCCTAGCTCCGATGGTCTAATACGGGTCGTCTCCTTAAAAACGGCCGGACAAATCATTCAACGTTCATTACCCAAGATATGCGTATTACCTATTGATTAATTATTTGTATTGAGTTTGTTATATTTCTACACTCACCCGAAAAAAAAGCGGTACACTGAAAATGTGGGAAAAATTCATCAAATTTCAACTGACGATAACTTCGTAAATAATAAAGATAGAAAGTTCTATAAAATATGGAAATGAAGCTAAAAATCTCTACTTTAAGAATCAATTTATTTCAATGTTGCAAAATAAATTTATTGAAAATGGCGGATGACAAAGCGCGAGCATGCAAAATTGAAAAATAATGGTTCGAGTTTGCGACGGTGCACGGTATAAACAAAAAATTGTAGCTTATTGGGATCAAAAGCGTACGAAAGTACAGAGTCTCCTCTTTAAAATGCTTTTTTATGCATCTTGATACGATGAATTTTTCGCCGTAGAGATTCGCATTTGAAGAAAAAGGCAGATTCTTACTTCAAATGCGAATCTCTCGGCG